CTCGACTTGACTTAATTGAACTGCCTTAAACAGATCCAGTTAAACCGCTATAATAGATTAAACAAGATTGAGTAGTATATATATATATATATATATATATATATATATAGGATGAACAATTTCTTTAGTTCAATTTAATGATTAAAGTAAACGCTTTATCCTAGTATGAACAAACTGATTACATTCGATGCTTCTCGGTTCTTCGAAGATGACATGCAAATCAATACGAACTAAGAAATACAGTATAATATCCACTCTAAACACATGTAGTGACAATAAATACACGTACATAATAAAAAAGAGGAATACACTAGAATGCTTACACTGATCTGAAATAGATGTAAAACGGACAATGACTGTGAGACCAAGCCATATTGAACAGGGAGACCCAAAGTGAATTATTTTCATCTCACGTACGCTTATTACCTACAAGAATTCTCCTTACAGGTTGGAATTCGTGATTTTTAAGAAGAGATGTAAACTGTACATAAATCTCTATTTTATCCAAACTGTACATAAAAAACTACGTGTGACTGATAGCTGATCAAAACTTTTGTTCTAAACTGAGAGCATTTGGCAAACATCTAGTTGGTGCATAGATACTTTTTCCTAAGGATCAAATTCGCCTCCGGATAGTACATCGATTTAAATGCACTGAATATGTAAGGATATGAGTTTATTTAAGCAGCCTGTTTTTTTAATGGCACCTGATTTTACTATCCGATGTATTGACTTTACTCTTACTGCTTCAAGTGGTTTTTCATTAGTAGTATTTTGGAGGATTCCGACTCTTTTGACGGCTTTTTCATTTCTGTTCATTACAAGCCTGTTACTTTCATGGTTCCTTTTAAATCTATCTGGATAGTTTTCTTGTTTTTCGGAAATGATGTAGAAATCCGTTAAACCCGTAAACACATTACTCAGTCAAATTCAAATCACTAAATAATACATACTTCGAAAATCGTATGAACGTGATTTTGCTCTTCAAAGAAAGTTCTGAACAGGAAATCTTCAAAAGTAAACACTATATTTTATAAATACGCTATAGAATACGAGATGATGTAAGTCCAAATGATCAATTAGAAGATACAATCACCCATCAACTCAATCTTACTTTGATATATATCATATGCCCCCAAATGCCCTGGTACGGTCGAGTGGGGAGGAGCCACCCTCCCTCTCGAAATGCTCTCACACGCTCACGCATATACAGCCTGTGCCATGGAAGTCCTACTGAGTGCTTTATCGTGGCGGGGGTGTTGTTTACTAAAGTGAGAGGACGAAAAGCAAATGTCCAGCACTTTAACCGGGTTATTGGATATGAAGGATCCAACTGAAGAAGTTGGAAAGCCCTGATTCCAAACCAATGGTGCACATGAGCTCCAGTATCCTGGGAGAACAAATGCCGTATGAACCTATTGTTGGTCACCGGCTACCATGGGACTGCATCTCCACACGATGCTCTGCTGCCTTGTGGATCGGAACTTTAGGTCGAAGGCTCAGGGTGTGACCCCCTAGGAAAACCACCTGCTTCTGTCTGGGCACCCGGGCATTGCCACAGCCCTCACACAAAAGAAATGATTTCTACTGACAATACTATTTGTGTGGCGCATATATATCTGGTGCCCCTTTGTACCAATACGTATGTGTTTAAATAAATAAACAAGTGAGACATTTCGTTACACGCTAAATAGCCCAGCTTACTTACATATTAAGAAGTTAATTATTTCACACAGAATGACTTCACTGGTCTTCAAATGCTTGACTCCTATAAAATCAAATATTTAAAATAATTTTAACATCTAAACCTAGATCCTTAGTGATAATGTCCGCTTTCCGAAGGACAATCTCATTCTTTTAAAAAAGGGCTTACACAATGGTCATCACTAGACGATAGCATCACTTTGTATTTAAACACACAAATACTTCGTTTACCGTTGTTTTGGATTATAAGACATTTAGTTTAGAAAAAAGCTCCTGAGCATATACGATGCACTTCTTAATTTAAACGCTTGCCTTCAATAGTGTTCACGAAATCTAGTTGAAAGCGTTCGCTATAAATAATTAGTTCTAAATAACTGGCCGTTCCTTATTGTTCTGAGATACATTTTCCTACTTGCTGAATTTGATGTGCCTCTAGTCGTACATTTCCATTTTTTCTGTGTAACTTGTTTCCGGTAAAACATGTTGCGCATTTGGATGATTTTGGTAGACATCAGTCATTTCGTTTGGATTATTTTAAAATGAATGGATTCTTGGAAAAGACGAATCTTTCTAGTGGTACTAATATGACGCACTTTTTAAATACAACCAATTACTTTAACCCCAATATTTATACCGATTTTTCTAGTGTAACATTATACATTGGGATGATGCATTAAATGAAAGGGTTGTTATGTTGAGAACACTATAACTACTCAGTAACTATAAATGGTGATACTCAACTGAACACATAAAGGGGAAAAATAAGAATCCACTATGGTATCCTTTTTATGGTCTATCGGTTAAGGGCTCTGGCTCGTAACTGGTAGGTCCTGGGTTCGAATCTCGCGAGTGCGGGATCGTGGGTGCGCACTGCCGAGGAGTCCCATAATAGGACGAAACGGCCGTCCAGTGCTTCCAGGTTTTGCACCCAAATACCCTGGTACGGCCGAGAGTGGGGAGAGTCCGCTCTCCCTCTCGAAATACTCTCACATGGCCAGCGAATATATAGCCTCTATCAGGGAACTCCTACTCACTGCCTTCTCGTGACATTACTGTTGTATACGATATTGAGAGGACGAAAAGCGAATGTCCGGCGCTTTAACCGGGTTGGTAGACATGGAGGGTCCACCTCGGGGAGTTGGAAAACCCTGATTCCAAACCAATGGTGCACATGGGCTCCAGCATCCTGAGGGAACAAATGGCGTGTGAATCAATCATTGATCATCGGCTACCATGGGACTGCATCTCCTCACGATGCTCCACTGCCTTGTGGACTAGACCTTTAGGTCGAAGGCTCCGGGTGTGGCCCCCCCAAGAAAACCACCTGCTTCAGCTTGGGCACCTGGGCAGTATCACAGCCCTCACACAAATCAAATGAGATTTGTGAGGCGCATATGTATCTGGTGCTTCCTTGTACCAATATTTATGTTAAAATAAATAAAAATAAATTATGAGAACAAAGTGGTAATAACATATTGCTCTTTAAAAAGACATATAAGAGGCATATTACAGTAAAGTTTGTGAATTACTTGACCAATTAAAAAAGCAGTCAATACAATATGAGGAATCATATTAGTAGCCACAGTGGAATATCAAAGTATTTATTTATTTATTTAAACACATACATATTGGTACAGAAGGGCACCAGATACATATGCGCCACGTAAAACAATGAAAATAGGAAGAGAAAGAATGAGAAAAAAGGGACTGAAGTGTACAATCGGAAGACACTTTCAGTTAAGAAAGTTAGAACCACTCTTTATGAAGAAAGTAAAAGGAGGTTGCAGCAGGATCGCCACTGGCTTCTATTCTCAGCCATATCTGATAACGTCTCTAGCCACTGTGTTGCACCATCTCTCGGACCCCAGCCAGGGAGTCGTGAAGGACCAACAGAAGCTAGCCCTTTGCAGCTTTCTTTCATATCACGACACCATGTCATACACTGACCACCTCTCCGCTTTTTCCCGGAGTCGGCAAATAATGCACGACGTGGAATTCTCTGGGACGACATTCGTAGAACATGTCCAAGTCACCGAAGTCGGTGTTTGAAGATGGTGACACTAATCGAACTATCGTCTCTGCGCCCGAACACACGATGCGAACCTCTGCATTACTAACATGGTGTTGCAACTGGAGACAACGACGATCGAACACAGAGAGTTGTCTAACACCCTCAACTTGGAGAGGCCAGGTTTCACAAGTATAGAGCAAAACTGCTCTCACCGACGCGTTGTGGATCCGACCTTTTACAGCCAGACTAACATCACGAAGGTGCGAAAGATGGCCCAGATTAGCATAAGCCTCTCTGGCTTTCATCATACGTGCATCGATCTCACTCACGCCACCACCACCACTTATGTAGCTACCTAGATACACGAACTTCTCAACTACTTCAATCTTCTCGCCACTCAGCGTGAGTACAGGATTAGAATCCTGCTAGTCTTGTAGGAGTACTTTGCACTTGGAGGGTGCAAAGCACATACCGTACCTGCGGACACTGATTGCCAACTGATTAAGTGCGGATTGCAAGCCTTGGGCATTACCGCACAGTAAGACAATATCATCCGCATGCTCAAGGTCGATAAGTCGTTCTCCAGGCGGCAGATCCACACCGCCATTTCTTACATCCATCAAAGCTGTTTCCAGAATGTCGTCGATGGCAAAGTTGATGAGGAATAGTGAGATTGGGCAACCCTGTCTAACCCCACTGCTTGAATGGAGAAAGGTGGTTGTATGCCCTAATTCTGCCTGAGGTGCTCGTATACAGGGCCTTCAAGATGTTAATAAACTTCTCAGGCACACTTCTTCAATAGACAATCCCAAAGAACAGTTCTGTCCAACGAATCGAAGGCAGTCCTGATATCAAGAAACACTACGATTGTCGGCCTGCGATAAGTATGACGGTGTTCTAACATTTAGCAGAGGATGAAGATATGATCAATGCATCCTCGACCAGAACGAAAACCAGCCTGCTCCTCGCTAGTCAATCGTTCTCGGGTTTTAAACAACCTACGAAGAATGACAGAAGCCAATAGTTTGGATGCAATCGGAAGTAGACTTATCCCCCGATAGTTATTACAGGAACAACGTGAACCCTTTTTAAAGATAGGGACGACTATCGGCTCATTCCATGGTGTTGGAACACTTTCTAGCTCCCGAACCTTTGTGAACATAGTCAATTCCTTTGTCAGAAAGTCACCACCATCTTTAAAAAGAGCTGAAGGTAAGTCATCTGGGCCCGGTGATATGTAGCGCTTCAAGAGTTGGAGTTCCTTGCGGACTTCCGCCTCGTTTGGTGGATCAGTCGTCACCGGTCATGGGGGGGAGGGGCAGGACAAACTCGTCGATGTTGCCGGAGCAACAGGCCAGTTGAACTGCCCATCGAAAAATTCCGCCCATTGGAATATCAAAGTAAGCACTAAAAAAACTGTTAACGGGTTACTGATGTTCCTTTCAGTCTCACAAGTGTCTTTCTGTTTACATCCGCAACACATCAACAATACTAGAAAAAAAACTACTACTCTACTGAAGTGAATACCTGTGTTGATAACAAACAATGGACTACACTTTCAAACGTTAATAATAAATAAATATTTTTTGTAATAAGCCAATGAGTAGAAAATTGTACTTCTGGCGTTTTGTGACCTAATATAAGCCACTTCTTCAGAGTAAGTGATCGAAATAAAACTAATAAGTTTAAACAGTACAATTGTACTCTGAAGAAGAAACGTCAGAAATACAATTTTCTAATAATTCGGATATCACAAAAAAATTAATTTATTATTAACTTTTTCATCAACGCTCAATTGATCTAAAACTATTAAGTCCAACCTTGACACTGATACCTACTTTTAAACATTATTTGTGAATCCAAGTTATATTTTAGTAGGATTAACTCTTGCATAATAAGTACAGCACGGTGACAGATAGAGGGGCATATACTCGGTATATAACGTTAGAAGTTCGATCTTTGAATCAGTCATGTACAAGATAAAAGTTTAAAAGCTCCATCTTGTACTTAAGGGACGCTGATTCCCCAGCAAGAATTCCTCCAAATCTACTGAAAGTTACTCCTCACAAAGTGACGTCATTACTTATCATTACTAGCGGTTCAGAAACTTATTTAAGCGTTGGGTTGTTCGAATTTATCAAAAGTTGCTAACGATTAGGAAAGCAAAAGAAGCTAACTGAATTCCACATATATTACATAATATTCAGCAAATGACTTCAAGTCATCATTTAAAAACACCTAATCCCATGGGACAAAAAATAACACTTAGTAAAAACAATCGGTTAAAAGTCTTAATTTAAAAATATTGACAATAATAAAACTAACAGACTCTGAAATTTTCACAATTAGTATCAAAATAAATGCTTTTGTAAGGTGGCACCTTTGTGAGATCCAAACAGATAAATGCAGCAAAGGTAATTCATGTGAAAGTTAGTGGTTCAATACGTCTACCATCCATATGAGACTGAATTACTTGACTGAATTCCTTTCTATTGGCTAAAGTATAACCAACAGACAATAAATGTTTAATTTTATTGTTAAATATGTTTGCTGTCTCTAGCGGTCGAGCTAAAATTTAAAAAAATTATTAGTGTGAAAAACGTACTACAATTAGTAAGAACATAACATTATTGAAGTTAGTGAAAATGTAATAGATCCTCCTGAAGACAGTTCATAAATGTGAAGATGGTGATCAATATTCCAGATGATCGTCAGTTTTTTTCACTTTATGTACTGATATGTATCCTTTTAAGTCTAGGATTTTGACGTTATACTAGTAATGATTTTAGGTAGACTTTAGATATCTGATGATTTGTCTCATTTAATAACATTTAGAAAGAACTTGCAGTTATTTTACTAACGTTGCCACAACTCATTAAACCCATATTTCAACCAAATCTTGTTTGAAGAAGAAACCAACATTTGATGAACTATCGTAATCAAGATTCTGGAAGTTTCAAACTAACTCCATACTCTAATCCCAAAAAAACCTGAAACATTTTCAGAACAAATTTGTTTATTTTACCTCGAACACTAGTTTCTATTAACTTTCATTCAAATACTATGAACATGAGTTGACTGTAGTATAATAATAAATAGTTTAATTTTATCCTCTTGACTCATGAGTCGGCTACAGTTATACTGACAGCGTTGCTTTATTCTACACAATCGCTTAAACAATCAATTTGACAATTTTTTCATAATACTTTTTATTACCTTTCGGATGAAATGCTAAGATTGATAAGCCCAATTCTAAACCTTGACCGAAATCTCCTTCATCGTTGGCGAACTGAACACAGGTAATCAACTCATCGACTGGAGCAAATTTAATTAACTGTCTTTCTTTTGACTTCTCATTGACAATATCTTCCAGTCTGTTGTTCAGTTCAGCTGTCAAAGGAAAACAGCATCGGGATCGGAAATAATACAAGTAATCCAATAGTTACAAAATTACATTCAAAGTATAACCGACACAAAACAACATCATATTAATCCTTTCTACATCAAGTATAAAACAAGAATGATAAGAAAAAAATAATAATACTCAAGTCCCAAAATACAAGTACTCAAGTGACGGTATACGACTAAGTAAGGCTATGTAAACCACTTTTTACTATAAATGAAACATGATAAATAAAATACGGACGAATAAATGAGAAAGCACAAACAATTACTATTGAAGACAGTAACAAAGAGGTATAAACTAATTTTGCGACCTATCACAAGTGGCTGTATTCTCTGGCTATCAGTCAGCTATAACGCAGGACTAGGCACATTTATGCATCGGTCCAAGTTGCCATACCTCGTTAGCACAACAAGATCAACACCGGATTCATAGTAGTTAATTTAGTGGTGGTGGTTATTTATTTATTTAAACACATAAATATTGGTACAAAAAGCACCAGATACATATGCGCCTCACAAATCTCATTTGATTTGTGTGAGGGCTGTGATACTGCCCAGGTGCCCAAGCTGAAGCAGGTGGTTTTCTTGGGGGGCCACACCCGGAGCCTTTGACCTAAAGGTCTGGTCCACAAGGCAGTGGAGCATTGTGGGAAGATGCAGTCCCATGGTAGCCGGTGACCAACAATAGGTTCATACGCCATTTAATCCTTCAGGATGCTGGAGCCCATGTGCACCATTGGTTTGGAATCAGGGTTTTCCAACTCCCCGAGGTGGACCCTCCATGTCCACCAACCCGGTTAAAGCGCCGGACATTCGCTCTTCGTCCTCTCACTTTCGTAAACAACAACCCCCGCCCAAGAAGGCAGTGAGTAGGGCTTCCCTGTCAGAGGCTATATATTCGCTGGCCATGTGAGAGTATTTCGAGAGGGAGAGCGGACTCTCCCCACTCTCGGCCGTACCAGGGCATTTGGGGGTAGTGGTGGTGGTAGTATATAAATTATAGGTTGTATGTAAGGATATAGTATAGGAAGGAAAAAAGTTATGAAGCAATTTTAATCTCAAAGTATAAGGGAAGATAAAGAGTGTATACACCTACGCCATTGTGATCGATTCTGAGCCATGTCACACAGAATCTCCAACCATTGGTTACGATAATCACGCGGACCCCAACCAGATAGTCTGGATCTGCCAACATGGCTCAGACTAGAAGTTAGTGACTTCAAGCACTGATGCCATGTTTTGGTTTGGCCATCCCTAACTCTCTTCCAACCATCCCCTACACCAGTCAACATTGCGCGTCGTGGTAATCGATGTTCAGGCATACGTAACACGTCGCCCAACCATTTCAGTCGATGAACATTCATGACCTCATCAACTGATTTACCATCATTCCCTAATACCCTGCGTCTAACCTCACCATCACTTACCGGGTGATCCCAACAGATGCTGGCAATATTTCTAAGACATCTGTGGTCAAATACTAGTAACTTACGAGTATCTTCTGCTCTTAATGGTCATGTTTCACAGCCGTAAAATAGAACAGAGCGAACTGCTGTGCAGTATACTCGTCCCTTAATTGATAGACGGATATCTCGTCTTCGCCATAGGTGACGTAAGTTGGCAAAAGCCAAACGAGCTTTTTGAATCCGTGCTGAGATTTCGTCAGACACCAACCCATTAGGGCTGATCAGACTTCCAAGATAAGTGAAGTTGTCGACGCGTTCGACTACTTCACTTCCCATCTGCATTTTGTCAGCGTCTTCACCAAACAGGACTATGTCATCTGCGTATTCTAAGTCGATAAGTGAACCTCCTGGTAGAAGATCAGTTTCTGAAAATTCAGTCGAATTTTCAGGAATTTTCTTTTATTAGTCTGAATAGTTGCCTGGTGTTGCCTACAGCCACTGCCTTTTCCATCTCTTTTGCTTTCGTTGCCCACCACTGCTCACGATCGTTCCCTGGACTTTTAGTTAACCTAGATCTAATTTGTCTACGCTCTTCGTCATGTTCAGAGCCTGATGGGATGAGTTTACGCGAATCCATCAGTGAAATAGACTTAGAAGAAATCCATTGGTTTTTTGGAGCCCTATGGTTTAAATGACTAATAGATGTTACTGCTGTTTCCACAGCTGTTTGTATTTCTTTCCAAGCAGCATCTGGGTCAGTCTCGTTTACAGAACTGCCTAGATGTGAACTGTTGTTTCTGGAATTCGCATTTGGCTTTCTCGTCCTCCAGTTCAACCCTAATGGGTCTTCTTAGTGCACTTTTCCTGCGTCCATTGAGGCGCAGACAAATGCGTGCTCGTATTAAAGCGTGATCAGAGTCTAGACAAGTATTCCAATACGAGCGACAATCTTCTATTGAGCCTCTCCAACGATGACTGATGACAATATGGTCTATTTGAGTCCATCGTTGGTTTGGTGCAGGTGGTCGTCATTTTAGACGATGTCTCTCCTTATGCTTAAAATTAGTGCTTGCTAAAAATAAACGATTGTCTGAGAATAGTTGCAACAAACGATCACAAATATCGGTTCGTGGCTACACTTACTTACTTACTTATACCTGTTACTCCTCGTCGAGGAGCATAGGCCGCTCATCAGCATTCTCCATTCAACTCTGTCCTAGGATTTTGTGGCTATATTCAGTTAAAATTAAGAAAGACACTGAAGATATCACATAAATCCTTGAAATCTTGCCTAATATAATGCCTAATATGCCTAATATAATTAAATACTGTTTTCCACTGAAAAAAAAACAATAAGCTCTGTTCGTGAGCGGTGTTGAGTTGAATTGGACCGCTCTGAAAAGATTATGATTCACCCAATCACTATACCACAACCATAGGAAACGCAACTTCTCAAACATACTATGAAACTGCAAAACTTGCTAAGTTTTAGAATTCATGCGATACACGATTACACAGGGAAAAGTGGTTTGAACTTACTGTAAGAAACATTTAAAGGACGGTATCCAATCCCATTCTTAGTCACATCGATCATTAAACCTATATGGTTTGTTGTGGAACACACTTGACGTTTCTTTCTATCCTTCATATCTTCGGCCATATTACACGAATTATAGATAGCTTACAAGACGATGATAAATCTGTTGGAATATTTTTAAGAGATGCAAACTCAATAAGACTTCTCAACAAGTCAGAATGTTGAGTGCATTTATTTTTTTGCAGAGTAGACCTACAAAGATTAGTGATAATCTAAGTTCCGAACCTTAGACAAGCAAACAAATTCTGACCACAATACTCTAGGACTCCATTGAACATATGAGTTGATTTGGCAAGGAACGGTTTAGATTCGCATGAATCCCTAGAAACATCATTATAAAGATGTCGATTACCGGAAGTAACCTATATGGTATTGTTCACTAGTGCAGACAATCACTGTCACAAACTCCGGAGGATCGTGATAAAAACGGTAATAATTTGACCATTGACCTTTTTTGACTGGCTCCTTGGATCCTAAATGAAGTATTTCAAATGGACCAACCAGACGAAATCCGACATCTAATAGTGCCTCTAAGACAAAGCTCAATAAGATTAATTTGCATTCAAACCAAGTGGGGCGTCGGCACGGAGAGTTTTACAAAACTCGTAAAACAATGGAAAGTCTGGAGAGCATTTGAGGTGGAATCCTTGACCAATCATTGAAATACGCTTTTGGATTTCATCGGAAATTGGATAATCAAACACTGGACTTTCTTCTTCAGAAACTGTCTTGGGAACTTTTGGTTTCTGTTTCTCAATAATGACCTTTGAACTGCGCTTCCTTGACTTTCCTTTCATGATTTGATTTACAGTCCTTCAAATTGTAGACAAAGTGTACACAGAGAAGAGAGCAATAAAATTCATAACACAAGTTAAGAGACTAACTATTCTTCAAAAGTTGTCAATTAATGCGAAAATGGAATAGTTAAGTGAACTCAGAACAACGAGAATGTAGTGACTTTATGCAAATCATTTAATGATATTGAGAACTATTTTAAATAGCCCATCACTATAGTAAATCGTAAATAGGATGAGCTACAGAGGAATGAGTATTGCCAGAACAACTCAAATCTCAGGTATTGATGGTAACAAGTACCACGGAAATTGGTCCGAAGTGATCACAGGTCGGTCAGCTTATTTATGCCTAACGTTACATGAGTTCTAAGTCGGTTACATAAACTTCTTAGTGGGATAAATCCTCTCTGCAATTACCTAGAAAATTTATTTCTGATAAACATTTGGTATTTCTGTTATTCACATCAATATTGATATGAATCTTGAGTGACGTTTTTTGACGATCACTAGTGGGATTTATTAGATGACAAAAACTCATTCGTTTATCTTCTCATGAGTTTTGAGTTCCGATAGTATTACAAACTTTTTATTTTGGAGGTTCATTAGCATTTCTTCTTCCATCCTCTACCTTGGTTTCTTCTGCCATTTATACAACTATTATCTCGAATCCTGTTTTTTATTTAGGTTCATTCACCATAGAAACCTCATGATGACATTTCCTAGCTTCGCGGAGCTGAGAAGTCCTTATGATTGTGAAGGTATCGTAAAATGGACACTTATTGTAACAGCTGAACACATTTATGCTTCTTGTCAAGATCCCGAACGCAATTTCTTGTTGAATGATACTTCTTTATGTATTCTTTACAATAATACAGTTACCACTTCTAGTGCTTTAGGACTAACCCTTGTAATTTCACCTGTCAAGACAGTGACAAATTGTACTAGTGCACGGCACATGAGCTAGCTGACCAGAAGATATAATCATCTAGATTTGTACTGCAAGGATGATGACAATACTGGTTACCTAACCGGAATGTTGATTTTCATCATTCAAATGCAGTCGAGACTCGATGACTATGTATGATAAATCAGAAAGTATTTGGTGAAATAAGTAGGAACTAAAGTTATCCAACAAAAACATAGATCGAGATAAGTTTGTGCCCTATTATTATTATTTAAATACATAAACATTGGTACAAGAAGGCACCAAATAGGCATGTGCCACATAAATCATTCGATTTGTGTGAGATCTGGGATATTGCCCGGGTGCCTAAACCGAAGCAGGTGGTTTCTTTGGGAGGCCACATCCCGAGCCTTTGACTTAGAGGTTTGGTTTACAAGGCAGTGGAGTGACGTAAAGGGATGCAGTTCCATGGTAGCCGGTGTCCAATAATTGGTTTATACGCCATTCGTTTCCTTAGGACTCTTTAGCCCATGTGCACAACTGGTTTAGTATCAGGGTTTTCAGACTCCCCTAGTTGGATCCTTCATATCCACTAACACAGTTAAAGCGCTGGACATTCGTTATTCAACCTCTCAATTTCGTAAACAACAGTAATGCAGCGAGAATGAAGTGAGTAGGACTTCCTAATCATTGGATGTATGCACGTGGCCATTTGAGGGCATTTCGAGAGAGGGATTGATATTTATATAGAAAACCAGCTATATATATATATATATATATATATATATATATATATAAAGACGAAAACAAACGGAGTGCCAAGAGTAAAGAAGGTGCGTTTAGATATTACAAGACCCCAAAGTTACGCCTCTAATTACATATATAAAAAGATTTGGAGTGGCATATGATTATGCACCACACATGAGTACCTAAAGTAATTTGAGATCTATGTAAACAAGCACCAATTTCGGAACAAAATAGTAAGGCAATATCGAGGCAATACGCACAGTATGCATATATGCCCATTAGAGACTGACCAGTCGCAGTCCTAACACATCGATGGGAAAATTCAAACAAACAATACTAAAATGGATTTAAAATAGTAACAGTTAGAGACACCGTACTCCACGTAGAGTTGGGTATCGCGCCAAATGGTTCAAATGTATTGCACAAAATAAAAATAGCCTTCGTTTCATGAGCTCCCGTATCTAGAAGCAGTAGACCACCTATACCTCCAGGTAAGAAACCTAGGTAAACTAAAGCAAAAGAGAAAAAGGAATTCGTACATTATAGTAAAACAGTGTATTTAAGAATATGTCAAGTTTTCTCCTAAAGGACTCCTAGAAGGTTGCCTTGGCTAACTAAGCCAACAGTGAATTCCAACATTTGACTACATTTAAAATGTAGAAGGTTGGTCCACAGTCCGCTCTGCTGTGTTGTTCCCAATTTCAAGGTGTTACGCAAAAGGCGTATGTCAGAACTGCATACAAGTAGCACGAACACCTAACGATTTTGTGTGTCATCCTCTATCAGAAGCCACGCTAATCTTCCCCGTATAGCTCCAGTTTCATTATATATAGTATATGCCAAATCTCTATTCTCATTCTGATCGGTAACCTATCAGATATATCCTGGGATCTCCTCGCTTCTGTTTTTTGGTTTTACGTATTAGGTACGATTCATAGTATGTGTTACTGTTTAAAGCGTTGTCAAACTTCAAATACCTATGGCATCTTCATCGGTGAGCCTAACGTGATTTGGTACACCGACTTACAAACTGCGAATCTGTTCCTTTTTGGAATTTCATAAATCATCACTTTATTTTAACTTTTATATATTGTGATATTTTCTTTCCAGCTTTCAGATAACTTTTTCCTCGTTTACTCTGGTACTTAATATTTCCTTGTGACGGAACAGACACACAAGGCACTTAAGTTAAAGACTATGCCTCCAACTCCGTTTCAACTAATGCCCTTTTGGTTAAACAACATCGAAGCGTGGTCCTGATTCGCAGAAGTCTACTTCTACGAACTCAGCATGTCTGATCCACATACACAATTCCTCATGGTAGTCAAGGCACTGCCGCGCGAATACAGCAGGTACGTCATACTTAGTATGTTTACTAGTGATGTTTCAGAACCTTTTGAAACTCTAAAATGGTCCATTCTGAAACGTGGAGATGCAACCGTTCGACAAAAGTTACGTCAATTCCTTGATAATATCGACCTACAACATGGTTCTACGACCGTCGAACAGCCCATGTGTATCACCTTTGCACATGGTCCATGAAAGGACAGCAACTATTAGCGTCCAATTGGTGAATATCGGCGTATGAATGCAAAACCGTTCCTGATCGTTACCCGTTGCTTCACATTCACGATTTGACAGCTACCTTGAAAGGTGCAACTGTCTTTCCGAAAATCGACTCAGTTAAAGCCTATAAACAAATTCCTATGGCTACTGACGATATTCCAAAAACCGCTACTATAACTCCCTTCGGAATCTACGAATTTCAGCGAATGTCTTTCGGGCGGAGAATTGCTGCCCAAAATCTCTGAAGGTTCATAGATGACGTTTCACGAGGTCTCAACTTCTTAAATGCGCATGTTGATGACTGCCTGATAGCAAGTTCCGGCATCTGGACATTGTGTTCGTAATAACTGCAAAGCATGACGAACATTCAGAGATACGAAATCCGAAAGGACTCCTTGGATTTCTTAGGACACCATCAATTTGGATGACACCGCTCGAAAAACATTCTCCACGGTTAAGAAACTTATCACAAAGGCAATCATACTGGCACATCAGGACACTCAAGCACCCATTAGTATCGCAATAGGTGCATCCGACTCAGCGATTGGAGGAGTCTTACAACAATGGGTTAACCACTCCTGGCAACCTTTGGCATTTTTCTGGAGACGGCTGCTAGACACTGAATCGAGGTATAATAACTTCGGTAGGGGACTCCTAGCTACCTATTGTACTGTACGGCAGCTTTAACACTCCGTTAAAGTCCGATAATTCACCCTTTTTACTGATCATAAACTCCTTACCTTCTCTTTAAGCTTGTCGTCAGCAACGTATGCACCTCGTGAGTTTCAACAACTGGATTACATTTCGCAGTTTACTTCAGATATACAACACATTTCTGGAGCAAACAATGTAGTTTCAGATGCCTCGTCTCGCATAACTTCCTTGAACAGTTTCCAAGGAATCGACCTTCTGAAACTTGCCCAGCTTCAAAAGGAAGACACTGATCTTCAGCACGAGTTATCCTCATCAACTCTAAAACTGCGTATCGAACAGATGGGAACAGGTAAGGAAACCTTACTATGTGAAACATCTACAGGTAGGGATCGTGCCAAAACGTTATCGACGCAACGTCTTCATTACGTTGCACAAACTCTCTCATCCGTGTGTTCGTGCATCCACCAAGCTAATAGCAGAATAAGTTTGCTGGCCTGGTATGAATAAAGACGTGAGGGAGTGGGTAAGCTCCTGCATAAGCTGTCAGAAACTTAAAGACATTCGAAACATCGAATGTCCGTTACAATCGATGTCCAGAAGCAGTACCTATTAAGGACATTACTGTTGAAACAGCGGCTCGCGCCTTCGTCGAACGACGGGTAGCGAATTTCGGCAGCCCTTCAACCATCACTACAGACCGCGGACGCCAGTTCGAATCTGGACTTTTCCGTTGTCTGACATCACTATTAGGAATCACGCGCTTCCGAACGACCGCCTACCACCCACAAACAAACAGGGTTAGTAGAATGTTTTCACGGACAACTAAAAGCTTCTCTATCAGCTAGAGACAAGTTAGAAATTAAATTCCGAAATACCTAAATGGTGTTGTTCACATCAGTAACCAAAACAACCGGAAACGGCCAATTAATATATGAATATTCTGTCCCAGCTGGGTTCCATTGTGTATCCAAATCACACTGCTCAGTAACATTATAAGCACTGTAAAGACTATTTGGGCATTTGGATGATTCAGAAAATGCATATCTGTCGTAATTCTCTTCCTCGTTAGAAAACACAATAAGACCTTTAATATTTGTTGTTGAACGGAAATACTGCATAAGTGAAGTGTTCATAAACTGCCCAACATTTACAACCACTACAAATGGAGTTAAATTATTTGATCTGAGTGTCTGAATAATGTCTTGTGACCCATTCATAAACAAAGCGACACCAGAGTTTCCTTTGATATCACTGGAACAACCGACCTGTTTTGTAAGGTTAAGTTTTCGAGTACAAAATGATGTATATGACAGAGGCACATAATTGTAAATTTGTTCAGTAATTTTACTGGAATCCAAAGAATCCAAACTGATGAATAAGAAAACCAGAATAAATACCACCCAATGTACCGCAACCATTGAATTGATTCGCTTCAAACCTGAAACTCTCGGAATTCGCTTAAATGGTTCAAATGGTTCAAATGATTGAGGACAGAATAGAAGAAGCTTTCGCTTAACGGGCTTCCGTGTCTAGTAGCAGTGGATCACCAATACCTTCAGGCAAAAACCTAGGTATATCAACGATAACGGAGGAAACAAAGAATCTGGTAAATCATAATAATATGTTATCCTTAGTCCTTAAGAATAAGTCAAGTTTCCTCTTAAAGAACTCCTGGGAGGTCACTTAAACTAGCTCAATCGGCAGCGAATTCCAGTTAGAAACAATCTGCGTAAATTAACACAGGTTGACCTACCTGCTACCTTGGTTGATGATGACATATGTTGATAACAAGAATATGCTGTGCATATAAACAAAAACTATGAGCCATCACATTTTAATCCATAAATGTTGAGTTTTCTACTTGAAGGAAATGGATGAGCTACGTGAACTTAACAACGCTAATGATGCCCATCTGATAGGAATATCCGAAACTTGGATAACGTCTCAGTTTACGGACCAAGAGCTGGCAATAACTGGAATGTCTTTATTTCGCAACGACAGAAAAACAGGAATGGGGGGTAGCACTATACATACGGTCATGCCTGGATGTACACAAACTTCACAACCAAGAGTTTCTCAATCTTGATGAGTCTTTGTGGTGCTCAGTAAGATTGTCTACCACCTCGAGGTGTCTAGTTGGGGTCATCTACAGGAAGCCCACTGCCGACATCGAGTATGAAAAACGTCTGCTGGAAGGATTAACTCGCTCTACGCGTCTCGGATTCTATCAAATCCTGATTTTAAGGGACTTCAATCTTCCTAGAATCAACTTCGTGGAACATACATACATTGGAGGTGACAACTCTATTGAAGCTCTGTTCTTCAACCTCATCAGTGACCTGGGATTATTCGAAAATGTGAAGTCGGCAACTCATTGGAGAAACAGTCAGACGCCGTCGCGCTTAGACTGGGTATTCACAAATGAAGAATTCCTAGTTGACGACCTCTCAATCCTGGCTCCCCTGGGGAAAAGTGATCACGCCGTCTTATCATTCAGCTTTGTCAGCAAAACAGAGCTAAGATATCCTACTAGCAACAAGCGCTGGAACTTCAAACGGTTGAATGTGTTAGCTTTACAGGACTATCTTCAACAGTTGGATTGGGATGTTCACCCTCAAATTGAAGTGGATGCTCATTGGGATTTTTTACTGCACACGATCTTATGTGCTACTGAGCATTCAGTTCCTAAAATGGTCCCAAAAAGCTACAAGCAACCTGCAATCATCAAGAACCGCACTCGTCGTTTGCCAAGCCGCAAAAGGCACTGTTGGGCTGAATATAAATGAACTGATAACAACGGCGCGTACAGGCAATACAAACATATAAGGAACATATGCACAAAGGCAATAAGAAAAGACAGGCTTCAGTTCCAGACCAAGCTTATCGATAGATTCGTCTCCAATCCGAAAAGCTTGTTCAGTTATGCAGCTTCTCTTCGACAAGGCAAAACTGGAGTTTCCCAACTGCTTGGTCCTAATGGCCCGACCAACAACGACAGTGATGCCGCTAACCTTTTGGCTGAACATTACTCCCGGACATTCCAGCTGACCCACATCAACCATACTGACGAAAGCTTCACCTGCACCTGTACAGGACTTTCCGAAGTGTACCTGAGTGCTGACCTGGTGCTCCGTAAACTGCAGAACCTAAAAAAGACACTTCTCCTGGTCCGGATATGGTTCATTCCGCTGTTTTGAGGGAAGCAGCTTCAATCCTGGCGACACCACTTAGCGTGATGTTTGCACACTCGCTAAGCAGAGGCAAACTACCGGAAATTAGGAAGCTGGCCCACATCACACCAATTTTCAAAGGAGGTCGACGCAGTGAACCCTCAAGCTACCGACCAGTGGCCCTTCTCTCCATACCTTCCAAAATTATGGAATCCCTAATATACGATGGTATGCTAGAATACTTATCATCCTCAAAGTTCTTCTCACCTCAACAACATGGTTTCAGAAAAGGTCATTCTTGTATGACCAACCTGCTGGCTGCAGTGGATAGATGGACAAACATCCTTGATCGCAAGGGGAAGATTGATGTCATCTACCTGGACTTCTCAAAAGCTTTTGATAGGGTCAACCACGTATGTCTTATCAAGAGGCTTAGACGATTGGGTATAAAACCCCATTTGGTTGACTGGCTGACTTCATATCTAGAAAACCGACACTTTAAGGTCAGGGTTAACTTCACTCTCTCTCTTAGGCTATGGAATGTCCTAGTGGGGCTCCCCAGGGTTCAATACTAGGACCTCTTCTCTTCTTGATTTACATTACCGATTTTCCTCAACAAGTTTCATCTGACTTATTGCTTTTTGCTGATGATGTGAAACTTTGGAGAGAGATACGTAATCATAATGATATACTAGTTCTTCAGGAGGATCTGACCCGACTTCAAAGTTGGGCAGACGACAACGGACTTACCTTCACACTTCAAAGTGCAAAGTGGTCCATCTGAGACATGTTGCAGACTATAGTTATAACTTAGGTAACTCCCCTCTAGAAGTTTCCCAAGTCGAAAAAGATTTAGGAGTGTTGGTACCCTATGACCTGAAATCATACGCGAACTGTGACAAAAACGCCTCCCAAGCAAACCTTGTACTGGTAACATTGAAGCGCATTTTTGGCCAGTTTGACGGTAGAACCTTCCACATAATCTTCAACAGTTTTATTCGTCCCCATTTAGAGTACGGAAACATAGTATTTCCTCCCCCCCCTCCAAAAGGATAAGGACACTCTGGAACGTATACAACGTCGAGCCAGGAAATCAGTTGGGGGACTCGAATTCAAACCTTACGAAGAGCGCCTCCAATCACTTAACCTTTACCCGTTAGAGTATAGGCGTCTTAGAGGTGACCTTCTTATGACTTACAGTATCCTTAATACTTCTGGTCATCCCCTTAAACATCTTCTTAAGCTTAGTCATAACACTAACCTAAGAGGTAACACCCAGAAATTGGAGACCCTACATAGCAGAACAGACTGCAGACACGACTTCTACTCCGTTAGAGTTATCAAGTGCTGGAATTCGCTGCCGATTGAGCTAGTTTAAGTGACCTCCCAGAAGTCCTTTAAGAGGAAACTTGACTTATTCTTAAGGACTAAGGATAACATATTATTATGATTTACCAGATTCTTTGTTTCCTCCGTTATCGTTGATATACCTAGGTTTTTGCCTGAAGGTATTGGTGATCCACTGCTACTAGACACGGAAGCCCGTTAAGCGAAAGCTTCTTCTATTCTGTCCTCAACCATTTGAAATGGTAGTTCATTTCAGTAACCTTCACTAAATGGTGAGCTTATTTTAGTTTTGGTGTCAGGGAAATTCATTCTGAAGGCCGAATTTCAACAATGTCAAGTAGTGGTAATTGGTGTTTGATAGAAAGCGATCCTGGAGTATTCACTGAACTTATTAGAGGTTTTGGTTAGTCATAGCACTTTGGTTAATATGCTTTCTAGGTGTAGAAAGTTTGGAGTGCGAAGAAGTTTATGATTTGACTGAAACAAGCAATGTGTCTGACGCTTTTGGGTTTATTTTCCTATTTAACTATGATGACAAACAAGATGAGACTGGAAAAGTGGTAACTGACGCAAACAATAGAGGCGTATTTTTTGCGAAACAAGTAGTGTATTAGTTGTTCATACATTTCTGTTAGACAATTTCAAATGCTTGTGCGACGCAAGCAATTATTAATATCTTGCTAAATATTGATGACAAAGTGCCCATTGGCCCAACATTGTCTAATTTCAAGTCTTTTGTGTCAGACTTTGACAGTACAGTATGATATTTGTCTTCCTACCACGTTTTTTTTAGATGAAAGGTACAGCAATAAGCAATTCTGATCAAATTAGAGTTGTACATAACAGCTTTAGCAAGTAATTTTCCCCTGTATTGCTAATATGCACTTAGTTACCAGCTATTTGAGTTTGATGAGAAGACCCCAAAGTCAAGTGAAGGTGTTTACCATTTTGTTGGTTACGTTCCTATTAATGGTACTCTGTACGAATTGGATGGCTTAAAACCCGGCCCTGTTGATCACGGAAAACTACCTGAGAATTCATCTTGGATAGATTCGGTCCGTCCGTTGCTAATGAAGCGTATGGAGAAGTGTGTAGACGGAAAGTTCAATATAATGGCAGTAGTTCCTAATCGACTCGTTATGTATGAAAAACAGTTGGCACGATATAAAATGGACTCAAGTGATGTAAGTCTGTACACTTTACGTTTTAATGGATTCCATTTACGTGACCATTTTCTTGTCACTTGATAAAGTTACAGTCTAGAGAACTGTGAACGTGAACTCAAACTGCAGAGTAATCCTAAGAACATCGTTTTTTTACTTGACAGGATTTTCAAAGAACTTAAACTCTACCATACTTAATAGTTGTAATTATTCTCCCCTTTTAGTATTCTAGTTTAAAGGGAAGCTACGAAATAAAGATAATATATTTCCACTAGGTTACAGTCTCTCAATAGAAACTTCGGATTCTGTGGGTACTAATTTGAGTCACTTGGAAACCCATTTACTTATTTTGAGTGTCTGCAAATTAAAATGACGAAAGTGTGAGCAAGATACAACTCAGTGAGGCAAATCCAAAGTTGGATACTGAGGGTTGGGTACAAATACATATCTCCTAATTATTGAGCTACGTTACTTTAATAAACTAATTTTTTTTCAGAAAATTATTACCTGAAACTCATTACTATTTGACAGTTACAACCTCCATAATTTGTTACCAAATTTGCTCAACGTCCAGTACATATCTCTAACAATTAAGTATTTCTCTAGGGATTACTGTTATGAAAAGTACTTAATTAAGTCATGGATTTTAGACTAAGTGATCGTTAAAATGAAGCATTCATTACATCATATCAGGCTTAAAACATTTACAAGCACATTTCAAACATTGTTGATATCTTTTGACTTAAAAGCAGGCCATGTATAAACCCGGCTGTTGGACACAAACAGGTGAATATTCTGCGTTTTTTTGAAACTCAATGTTAGTCGATAACTACTTATTTCATTGAATACTACACATATCACTTGTTATTCATTTATTCAGTGATAATATTCACGTTTAAAAGAACTAAGAGGCTGACATCTCCAACTTGTAACGGCATAAAGTGCATTCCTCCTTTCTTGCAAGTTTTGGTAGAGTTACGTGAGTAACCCAAAGAATTTCGTAATTACTAGTTGAATATGAATCACGTAAACTTCTGATTACATCATTTAGTGAGCTACTTTGTGTTCTTACTAGTTACCTGTCACATACAAGAGAGAGTAACTACTCAGAAATGTTTCGTAATCTAAACATCAAAGACTTGAAGTTCTTGCAGTTTCACAAACAGCAGTCAAAACATCTTAAAGCAGCGGAGTTATTCAACACCAGCACATGATTTGTGTAGCAACGTAGGCAAGTAGACTGAGATATGGAAGAAATAAAGTCAAGAGAATGTAACGCAGAGTGGTGCATGTTTCAGAGTACTTTAATAATAAATATTTATTTTTATTTGTTTAAATACATAAATATTATTACAAGGAAATACCAAGAAGTATCTGCCCCTAACAATTTCTTTGAACACATATTGATAAACAGGGGCACAAAATACATATGCGCCACGCAATATCAATGAGAATGTAAAGTGCATATAAGAAAACAGAATAATAACTAACAGAAACTAGTGTATTATAGTGAAATAATAATAGGAGAGGCAGTTCAATTATCAAAAGTGCAACCAGCCACTGTGTTGCACCATCTCTAGGATCCAAACCAGGAAATTGTGAAGAAACAACAAATGCCAGTTTTGCACAGCTTTTTTTCATACCACGACACCATGTCATACAATGACTACTCCGCTTTTTACAACTCTATGTCGGCAAATAATGCACGACGTCTTGCACACAACCACGCCAGCGGTAGCTGATCGCGATGTGACTAATCTAAGTCCAGGCTTAAGATAGAGAGGGAGACGCCAGGTGGCACATCAGCAATGACTGTGCCGGTAGTTAGTGCTAGCCAGAAACAGGTTGTGGTCTGCTTACAATCGCAGAAGACATTCCCCGTCATCTGACCTTCAACCACCAAGACGCCATCAGCCATCTAAACAACTCTCTTCGGTGCCTAGACACCCGACCTAAGCATTGAAGTCTCCAGCTAGTACTACGATATCTGTCGAACGCACTTTCTGTAGAAGAACAGCTAACTGGTGGTAATACTCAGCCGGGTTGCAATCTGTTGAAGTGTAGGCGGAGGTGACGGAAAGACATCGTTTTTCACACCGATTTCTTCTTACTTTGATGGAGCTTTCTAATCTAACAGCATATAACCGACTGTTAATGGGGAACCAGTCGGTCACTGCTGCCTCAGCTCTAGCATTTAGTGCGACACCAACGCCAGACAAAGATGCCACAGGGTCCTCCGGTAAGCGCATGTAAAACAAGGTTTCCGAAGCGACAAATGGAGATCGACTTGGTAGTACTTTCCCAGTGTCTTGAATACAGGTTTCAGATAGACAAAAAACGTCGATATCAAGACTATCTAGAGATATAGACAACCCTATATGTTGTGCGAATGTTGAAAAAGGCCAGTTTGAATGGTATACATGGTTTCAGTATTTTTACTAGGTGGTTTGTTCATTTATTTATTATTTGAACACATAAATATTGGCACAAAAGGGCACCGAATACATATGCGCCACACAAGTCACCTGATTTGTGTGTGGGTTGGAATACTGCCCGAGTGCCCAGGCCGAAGCAGGTGGTTTCCTTAGAGGCCCACGCCCGTAGCCCTCAACCTAAAGGTCTGAACTACAAAGCAATGGAACAACGTCAGGAGATGCAGTCTCCTGGTAGCCGGTGACCAATAATTGGTTCATACGCTGGTTGTTTCCCCTGAGGCCCATATGGATCATTGGTTTGAAATCAGGGTTTTCCAACTCCCCCAGGTAGATCCTCCATATTCACCAGCCCAGTTAAGGTACCGGACATTCGCTTTCCGCCCTCTCAATCTCGTAAACAACAGTGGTGCCGCGAGAAGGCAGTGGCTGTATAAGCGTGGCCATATGAGTGCAGACTGTTCCCACCCTAAGCCGTACCAGGGCATCGGGGGGGGGCAAAGTGGTGTGTGTCGACCGGGAATCGAACCCGGACCGTCTGTGTGTCTGACGATCATTCTTCCATTCGACCACCGGCGTCCCACACAATAGGAAATGAGATTGCGAGAAGCTAGAGAAATGAAGGTGAGTATAGCAAAAGAAGATAAATGGGGGCCGAAAATAATAGAAGTTTAATCAAGAAAAACAGCTGGAAAGAATTTGAGTGTAAGAAGTTCGTCTCACTTATATGAAGGAAGTGAAAAAAGTAGGACTGCCACTAGCTTCTACTTTGAACCATGCCTGACGCCTCAAGTCGCTGTTGCGCTGCTTCTGGAACCCTAACACGGAGTCATGAAGAGAAAACAAATGCCAGTCTCGCACAGCTTTCTTTCATACCACGACATCATGTCATACACTGACTACTCCGTTTTTTACAACTCTATGTCGGCAAATAATACACGATGTGGAATTTGCTAAAATGACATTCTTAGTATACATGCAAGCCACTAAGGTCGGTGTTTCAGGCTGGTGACACCACTTGAACGGTTGTCACTGTGCCCAAACACATGTTACCGACCCTCTGCGTTACTAACATGTTGTTGCCACTTTGTATGTATGCATCGGTACCGCATTGTTTACCAAAGGTGTTTTCCAGGTGCGTAAATCGTTCCAGCTCTTATTGAGATTCTGCATCAAGTGTGATTCGCTCGATTCTCTTTGTGATGTGTTTCAGTATCTTGCTTGTCCTTGTTTATTCTGAGAACTACTACACCGCTTTTCTTCACCTGCATTTGTTATGTATAGAATAGAAGGTTCATTTGTAGAGTTTAAATCATCTGGCTGCATCCCAACTGCCCATAGTAGTCCGTACTTCCCCGACATGTGGAGGTCTTCATAATCCAGTCTGACACAGGTCTTCACTTGGAATGCATCTGTTAACTGTCCTCCATACACGAATCTGTAGTGTGGTCCGGTTACAAACTGGGTAAGTGGGGGGTTGCATGGCTTGAATAAGATCTGTATACTCAAGGTCAAAAAGTCCCCAGATAACAGATAAAACGTTCTGGTTCTTCTGAAAGTGAAGATAAAGAGATCCCGCAGTGTTCGCATTGTATTTCTGCATTAATAACTGGATGTATTTTGTAGCCCTCAACTTACTGTCCGCTAAACTTCTTAATCGTACGAGATGTAATTGACAAGCATTTATACAAGCTTTCAAGCATTGAATCTCATATTTGAACCATTCATCAGGGTTTGGGGAAAAATATTATTTGTATGACTGTTATCTATGTCAGGTTTGTGAAACTCGAAACTTCATGAAGCTTTTGAACTATGATACCATTACTTTACTTGGATACCATTGTATTAGTAAATACAATTTATATTTGTTACATGTTAGCTCTTTATGATATGCGGCCTAGTTATATTATATTACTACACTTTCTTTGCAGCCAGAATCTGCCTACATAACAGAGCTAACGAATAATATCGCCAGTGAAAAGAAGAAAATTGCAACGTATCGCGCAGAAAACATTCGTCGTCGACACAACTATTTGCCACTTATAGTAGAGCTTCTCAAAATACTGGGCGAAAACGGTCAACTAACTAGTCTGATTGAAAAAGCTCAGAAGGTTGCACAAGAACGCAGTGCTCTACACCCATCAAATGCTGCGAAGAAAGTGAAATTTGTCTAAAAGAATATATTATATATGTACATCTTTTTTAGAAACAAATTTTATGTAGGTGCGAAACGATTTTCGTTGTCAGATGTATATAAAGTTTCCATTTGTGCAGGTATTTGTATGATTTTCTTATTAATGACCTCCTTGATGTACAGAGCTATGAGAAGTGTAAGGGTCATGAGAAAAATACCTAGTGCAACACTGAATCCATCAACCGTTGGAGATGCACCGCGATACCAGCGCAAAAACCTTTCAGAATGTTCGCGACTACGCACCCAGGCTGGGGCTTTGAGTTTTTCGTTTTCCATCATCAGAAACTGTGATGTTATGTCCATACATGTGAAGTAACACTGTTCAGAGCCGTTGAAATCTGTTTTTTTTATAAAAAGAAGAGAATGGAATTACTAAGAGGGAACACTTGTAACTGTTTGATACAAGAGAATGCATATCCAAAATATGTGCGACAGGCATTCGTTGTACCAGTTATGTTTATGGGAATCGATAATGTGAGCCAAGTGTAAACAGGAATATATCCTTTGAATTAACGGGTAATTTATTGGTAACTAACGTCATCAAAATGATATACTACAACTTAATGCAGAAAAAGCATGACGGGATATCGTGGCTTTCAATAACAACTAAAAATATACCCTACATATCAGTCAATCAGTTACAATGTAGGACCAGGCATATATATGCATCGGTCCAAGTTGCAACACTTCAGACCTTACATATGTCTAATATAAAAACTGACAATTAGAGTAGAAATATGAAAGTAATTAGGTAATATTAAATACATGCATGTAGTGGGTAACTTGAAGTGCTTTCAAATCGGTTCTTGAGTACAATAAAACAACTGGAACAAGTTTTAGTTCCAAGGTTCTTATTTTACATTTGGGACACGAAATATATTAAAACATGAACTCTTAGTAAGTACTAAACAGGAAGACAAAAATTATTTACTTACATCCCATCCAATATGTGTAAGGACCCCGTTCATCAACAGGTGGACATGCTGGTGTTGAAGTTCGTTCTCCAGTTAGTCCTATTAACAGAATACTGACTAGATGCGATATCTTTATTTCATGTAGGCCCAGTGGTAGGTAGGTTTGTGCAGGTATAGGTGTTTTTAACATTTGTACGTATTTATAATCTACAGGACTGAGGTACTGTAAACAAAAACACACGACTAGTTGGAAATAATGGAAATGAATAAATTTTGCAGGTGAGCAAACTCAATAAAAGTGGGTTCAAACTAACATAGATAAAATAACTTACCAAGGCAAAAAAGATTCTGTTAACAAGGGAATACAATCAGAAGAAACTTCTTACAAACCTATTCAACAGTATGGTTTTACCCTGGAATCATTAATAAAGTCATTTCAACCCAGATAATGACTCTAGTTCGTTACTGGGGTTAAAAGGCATGGTGGGAAAGTGCCAAGCATTCAGAAGTGTTGACCAGTTGAAAGTTTCTTCAAATTGCGAGTGGGGTTAGATGTCTGATATGTATCCTTCAAGTTTGTCGTAAAAGTTAATCAAAATTAATTGTTCACCCTTAGTAATCTGTCATAAGACTTTAACTCAAACAAAATGAACTTACCAACAGATCAAATATTTCCTGCAAGATTACTGTGAGGTCTTAAGTATTTCTGTCAAGTAGAATGTTGGCATGTTTCTCCCGTGGTTTAGCTAGCTATGTGGTGATGTCTTTGAGAATCTCGAATTTTTATGTATGTTTGTATAGAAGTAGTCAATGTTCTTTACGAAAAAGAATGTAACTATGGAGATAAACAGTTAACGTTCTATGCCTGAGTTACACCAGAATATACACCTGATAACATGTATTAAATGTTCAAGTCAACACTGAGATATAGAGGGCCACAATTAAATATTATATTAGTAGTAGGTTCTTTAACCCTAAGTGATGTAAAGAAGTATATAGTTCAGTGGTATTTGCATGTAATTATTAGTTATATAGGTTTATAATAGTAAAACTCTGAAGTACTGGTTTGCTTTTTAGACTTAGTAGTTTTCGACAAATCAGTAAGAAACGGAAATTCCAATGACTTAGTGTGTAGATCATTTAATCGTTTTGTGTCTAAAAAGTTAAGCATGAATGTACTTAAGTCTTTACATATAAGTTGTACTACGTGAAACATCGTTATGCAAAAATGATAAATGTGGTAAGCTCCTTGCTAATTGTTGTTGGTCATTGCTGTAACGGCTTTTGCTTAAATTTACTATTCACAAAAATATCGTGGGATTTAGATCGCCTAAAAGAAATAAGTTATATTTCAAGATAAGGTAAAAATGCCTATCCATGTATCATCCTGGGATTCTCATCTAATTTGCTTATGTAGTGTTGTACAATCCAGAGGACCGATCGGATAATATTCGGAAATCTCGGCCAGAAAATAATTAATGGAAAAATAAATCCAACAAACATAACATTATATCATTTTGGAAAAAAACATAGGTGAACTCTAGCGTAACACGCATGCAGAAATAATAAGGAAGTAGCATCAATGTACATATGGGTTAGTAATCTGAGTATCAAATCTTCAACTTTTCAACGTTAAGCATTTTTTATACCGAACATAAAATGAGCTTTTCAGCTGTAAACAGCAATAAAATTTACAGGTACTGAGTTCATCACTTTACACAAAACGGTCAGTTTTCATATCTTGTGATCTTTGTGCTTTACTGTGGTGCGGTCTACTTATATCCATATAAGTAGTATATAGCGATGGTCAGACAGAGAATGTTTTTGGCAGAAGACAGGTGAGGGAAGAACTGAAATAAAGTAGGAAAATGCATGGATAATGGAACTAGAGAAAATGAACTGATATTTGCAGAAGGAACAGTCAAGATTGAGACAATTGGTTGTTATTTTGTAAATCAACTGTTTGCTGTATGGCTATCAGAATTTAGTGAGATAGTCTGTAATTTGTGCTCGAATACATTCGGTTGTCCCAACCAGTGTTCTGTTCACTACATTACTTGTTTAACTTTTATGGCTTTGTCACTTCCGGTTATTAAACAAAAACGAATACAATTTAATTATTACATAAGATGATAAAATCTAGTAGGAACTACTATATTTGTTGACCGAAAAAGTAAATTAGATGTCTGGTGTATTATAACTTCTATTCTCCCAATCAGTAAAAAATTAAAATCCAAAAGCTAACGATATTTGAAAGTCTCGAAAACGATGTAAACATTAATCTATCCAAAGTACACATAAAAATATTACCATTTTGAAAAGGTCACATCCCAGATTAGTTGAAAAACATTCCATAATGTCACTAGGTTTTGGATAAGCAATACTGGACGAAATAGGTTCATGATTTGCAGAAACTATCTGGAAGAAAACAATTTTTGAAAAGTCATATGTAACTACAATGCCCACTTTTCTATATTTCTCCAAACCATATATAAACTAAAACGATTTTTCAAATATTTTCAGTAAGATTATGGAGAAGACTGGGGACTAAATAACATCGTTAGATTTTGAACCATAACCGTGACTTGTAGTTTGATGTTTAGTCAACTCTCTGTAAACAGATCGTGAGCTACTAACAGAAGCAAATCCAAGTTGAAACTAAAATATCTTAATAAAGCATTTCTTTACTTAACAAATCTTATTTCTGCATAAAGTATGGGTAAAGTCACTACAGAATCATTTGATCGTCGGTCAAATATAAACATGAGTTTATGAAGTGTTGTATCAAGTTGGAGTAATTTTCCACACAATTTCAAAAAAAGTGACCATAAATTAAGCAAACGACCATTAAAAATGATGTACTTCTATAAAACAAAGTTGGCGGTACTTAAGTTCTACCAATAAACAGGGATCTAAAAACCATACATGGAGAAATCGTCTGTTTTTACAAGGACGCCATCATATTTCCACATCATTCCTTAGTAACTTCTTGTTAAGAGTACTTTACAGTTTGTAGAGTACATTATTTACTCAGATACTCATTTTCTAGCTACTAATTTATGAGGTTTACTACCTCCAGCTAAATTGTTTTCAGTGTTTACACGTTGAATGGATCATCGTATAGTGTAAGAAGCTTTGAATCAAGTGTCCAAGGGATTTATAACTTCTGTTGGAATCAGTCAACTATAGTGACAATTAATGACTAGATACATGTATTCATTTGTTCTGCATCACTATCTGTAGTAAGGTTTTATGTGTGAACATACAAACGATCTATTTTAACAGATGAAATGGATTCCCCCGAAAAAAACTAAGCACGTTTACTAACCATTTGTACATTTCGATTCACCGGATAATGTACTAGGTCAAAAGATATTTTCTACGCTTTAGTTGGTACGTTAATGAGATTATATTTATTAGACACATTATGCAACTAGTGAGTGTAGGTGGTTAACAAAACGTTTGCTAGATAAACTTAGAGAAGCTTATAATCTATATTTACTAAGATATGTCGAGCCGTTCAACAAATTGTGTTTACTATTGTATTTCCCAGTACATTAAAAGTTTAACGATTGTTTGATGAAAAATAAAAATATTGCCGAACTAGTTAAAAACTTACTCTATGTAAACCATCTGCTAGAGTGTTGGCAAAATCGAGGAGGATTGTATCTGCAGTAGGATTATCCAGTGGAGGCCATTTAGTATCAAGAAAACTCTCAAAATGTTTATTAAGGAAAGGTGGACGGTCATAATCACTTAACACCACATGAGGAAGGGGACGAGGTGAAGTTTGAAGAAGAGTTTGCACTGATGATATTGGAGGTAGTGGCAACTCTCGTGATTTGTTAAACGGTCTTTTTAAATTGACTTTTTGGTTGGTTTCACTGGCTGCTGTCAGGTGATGGAAAATATTATCCGTAAAATTTCGAGTCTATAAATTGAACAAAATGACTTTGCAGGTGCATAATAATTAAAAAAAAAACTACGAAATATCTATGTTTAGATTCAATAACTACCAAATTGTTTCTCAGCTATCATCGTTGAACAAATGTTAGGTGAAAACTCAATAGTTTGATAGAAATAAGGTAATCAAAGTGTAGGGGACATATTTTTAATTCTACATCTATTATTTAGAGAAAATTGGGAAGCTTAGAATATTTATTCAAAAGTGGGATTGATTTAATTACAAAAATCGTTTGATGAATTAAAATTGCTGACGCAACAATGACCAGTTATCAACTACATTTCATACTTAACCTCTTTTCATATGATATGGCAAATTATCTTCAGCTCTCTGAGTATAATATTCAACATAGATACACTAAGAATATAACCCGATAATACTCCTGTTAAGCTGACTACCTCTGTTAAACTCCGAGATACATATCTATGCCTTGGTTATTCCTAATATTTAAGTGAAGCGGGTGATAATATACCTTAATGACAGTGATACATGTATTATACAACGCTTCAACAGGAAACAACTTTAGAATATATAAAATTATGAATTGTTCGAAAATACTTTTCCTTGTCTACCATTAACTTTTAAACGTAAGCCAGTTAGTAAGTGAAACTTTACAGAATTGGCAATACGCAAAAATTATGTTAAGCTAAGATGTTAAAGACTGCTTAATTTAACAACAGGCATAGACAGCTGAAAAGGCAGCAACCGGTTTCCAAATGTTATATATATATTATGAGAACACAATAAGTACTGTTTTACGGCAGATAACATCATTGTTTCCAAACTTGAAGTACTTCACACCAAAGAGCCTGACACATGCACTTAATATTTTAAAAAACTGCAAAAGACTCCTGACAAACCAACATTTATTCATTGAGAAAGCTGGCTCAGAATTCCCACAGAACACAATCATCAATGTGGGTTCAAATTCAGTAATGGGATAAGTGAGTAGAACTCTGGAGTATATATTATTCCTTCAAACATGGAAACACTGAATCGTGTCCATTCATCGGGAGTACATCAATTACTTTACTTAGCTAAACAATTTTTATTGCTCGTTAGCGAATAAGTATGGGACTGGGAGTAAAGATAACGCATTATCTGATAAAAAAAAGTTGAGACTGACTTAAACAAACTAAATAGATATTTTAGATGACTGGAAAAAATATATGAAACCGACCAAATCAGAGCAAACATGTTAGTTACTCGGAAAATATAAAATAAACAAGAATGAAAATCATAGAAACACTAACCACATTGTAAGTTTTATCATCCGTTAACATGAAAAACATAGGATGATTATCCTGCTTTCGCGACAATCCAAGTTCACCTAGCTCTATGATAGCATACACATTACTCCAAATCACTGGATTCCCAGTATAACGAGCAATATTTCCAGAAGATAAATCATATGAAAATCTAGATGAACCCATAAAATCATAAGCCTCATTATCCAGAAAGCTGAAAAGTAAATCTTTTTCAAACTGAGAATCCTATCCACGAAAAAAAAACAAATTAACAAACACAAGCTTTATACTAAATGATAATTCAATCTCACGTTTTAACAAATCCATAACTTTGTCGACCATGGAGATAATGATGGAAAACTACCACAAAATAAATATGAGCGTACCTCAGAATGTAAGCTCGTGAAAAATTACGAACAGAAAATTCATTGACCAAATTTGTTCCAAAGATAGTTATTCTGTGACCTTAACGACTACGATGCTATTAGTTAAACATTATACCGAATTTCCATAAATAAATCTTGATCAATAAGCTTATCAACAAAGTAATATTATGTAATTTTTTCCATTGTATCTTGGTGGAAGTGAAAGTCAAGTGTCATATGCATAGTAGACAATTAGTCTGCCACTGTGCTGCAGACAGACACATTATTATAGGTTCAAAGGTTTATATATATATATATATATATATATATGGCATGAAACTAAGAGTTCTCAGTGTGAATTAATTAACCACATAGAATATTTATTGATCTTGAGAAAAAAATGTTGATTAACAAAATACTGCGTGGTCAAAATGCTACTGGTAAAACAACAAGATATGAAGTTTTATTACGAACTAGATGTTTTTAAAAGAATTCAATAAGGTATGATTATAAAATGACAATAACCCAACAGATTAATGGTTGGATTGTCAAACACAACCAAAGCTAATGTTATTAAGCTACCATATTTAAAATATCATTTCACGTTTTAAATCGACATCGAATGAGACAAAAGACAGATTATTCCACTTTGAACGACAAGTGGAATTTCCGAATAGAAATGAACATAAGAAATTATTGAGAGATAAGACTGAAGCAATCATGAGGTAGTTAGTAAAAAGTCAAAGTTAGTCAAAAAACAACCGATTTCCAACAAATATTTGTCTTCACATATTATTATCATTTAACAAGTTAGTGTAATCTATTTTCCTATAGCTCAGTAAGTAATTTTGAAAATACAAGAATCATCGTCTAGTCCTACTGACAAGTAAAGTGAAAATAGATACCCAAATATCCTTGCTAAAACAGATCGCGCTAGGTCTGTTCTTAGTTGAATAGTTTACCAATTAAATTACATTTTAAATCCTTACCATCAAGACTTTACAGAATCTTGATTTACCCATGTTTGACATGTTAGCTACCAATTCTGGCACATATCTGCAACTGTGACTATTATTCGTACGATGTTACACGTTGCTCATGGCTGACTGACTGTTGAGCAAGGCCTCTGAAATCAAAAGACATCTGCATGCTGAAGTTTCCTTTATCATGGATGTCTCCCAAGTACTGTTCATACATTATAGAAGAAATGAACTAGTAATGCAAGAGTTAGGTATAAGGTAGCAAGAAAAGATGAAACCGATTGATAAGGAAGTAAATCTTCATCGACTAACGTGATTGAAACATGCACAAGCACCAACTGCCTCGAAGCGCGTCGCTAAGTAGCGTAGAAGTAGGTAAGAAGTTCAGTTGATGTCAAATAATGACGTGGGATCAATCCATGAAGTCTTTGATTGGTGAACTAGACCATGTAGGTTAATCTAGACTACCTGGTTGGGATCAGCGCAATTATCGTAACCGATTGTTAAAGACGAATGGTATAAATAATAATTATTTACAATGGCGCCCATGCGCTCACTCTTAATCTTGCTCCTCATCTTGAATCTCAATATTTTTTTCATACATAATTTTTCATTGTCTTTTTTAAATACATTCTTAATAGTTAGTCTCCTTCTTTATTATCCCTACTACATTGTTTCGACTTGTTTTATTTATACTTCGTCGTCACTATGTGATATAATAATTTGGACCAACGGACATTTGTCCCAGGCTCTAATTTGACTACGATTGACTGACTAGGAAGAGGAATTCCCCGTGAATATAGTTTTTAAAAATCATTGTTTTAAGTTATTGTATCACTCGTATGGATTTCATACTATACAAACAGGCAGTGTTAAAACCATTTTAAGATTTATTGCGTCCAAACTGATTCTTCGGTACCATATATAGAGTATTCATCGGGAATTTGTACGTGCATTAACTCTTAGTATCACTTTATGACTCATTTATTGATTACACGTTTAGACAGTTGACTGTGAGCCACATTGTATGAAGAATGATAATTCTACCTAACTTTCCTGAGTTAGATGAGATGAGGTTTGAAAATTATAACCACTGGTTGGAATCCAAACGGATAAAAAAAAACCACTGCCCTTTTTAAGACAAGTCATTTTACACGGGACAGGTATTATTGTCAGACATCTTTCTACAAAAGTATGTGTTCTACATTTATACCATGTAATCCTTGACAACAGTTGACGATAAGGTGTGACTTATTTTCGAGATAAATTATTTGACAATAAAATTTTTGTATTATAAAAATATTTTTCAAAGAACATGTGTGACAAATATTTTATTATAGTCCTTTTAGAAAGTAATGAATTTTTGAGCTAATTCATTCGCTAAGCTCCCTTTAATAAATTTGAGTTCGTTCTTCCTTTATAAAGAGAAACGAATAATAAAAATTTCATGAATAGAAACTTGATTTACAATACTAGTCAGAATATGTGACATTGTCTTAAACTGAAAATAGAACAAATGTTACAGGCAACCACAACGGTAACTAAATGGTCAAAATTATCCAGATATTTTTAAAATGACCAAGCATACTACATAGAAGGGCTTAGATGGAGACCAAAAAAGTACTATGTACCTTAATAAATCTTTTGTGTTTAAATTAAAAAACGAGTGAATAGAATTCGAGTTCTAGATGTCAGTTTGAGTTCAAAATTTCGCTTTGGTGATATTCGTAAACAGCTATCAACATTTTTGTAATTTACCTACTAAACTACGAGAACTATTTAACCATCCAGGTCATAATAGAAGAAACTTAAGTTCCAAAACCCAGCGTTGAAACTGGGAGATTAAACAGTTTATAAATATCAACAGCGGTATTTCCTATAAAACTAGTTAAACTAACAAAGCTTGTTTCGTCATTTGATTCAAGAATATGGTTTTAGCAGTAAGGAAATAGGCATTAAAATTGGGTTATCAATTTCATACACTTAAATTAATCAACAGATCAATGGAATAAAATGCCGATTCAAACATACTTTTAAATGGCAATAAAAGAAAAAGAAACTGACAGAATTTCAAGTACCTGCAAGAACAATATAAGTTGCATGATTAATACCTAAACGTCATGAGGAACATAAATATGTACCACTTTAACTGATTTTGAGCCGCCATCGAATGTTTTTGAGCACATATCTACCTATAGACAGGAGAAATATTTCTAATTAGCTTTTTATTATGACTTTACACTAGTGTGTTTAAGATAAGCAAGATTATTACCGACCAGGTAATTGTGTATTCATGTAAATGATAATGAATAATCAAGTAGGCGACTAAAAGATCAAAGTAAATAGAATAACTATAATACTCAAATAATTTAATAAATTATAGGGATTTTGATGCGCAATAAGTTACTATGTACAAACTGGCAAATGGGTTATGGATTATAAACAACTTCTGCTGAGTTGATTACCGGTAATCAAAAAGCAAATACCCAAAAGTTACTTTAGAGAGGATAATACGTTGAAACGAGAAAATTCGATTCTCCAAAGTAAGAACGAGTGCTACGGATAACGTTGTTTCGGGGGTTGGGAAACGAAATTTTGACACACTCAAAAACAATACCTAGTCGATTTACGGTAGTAATTGAAAACACTACTAGCAGAAATTTCCATAATATTTCGGAATGGAATTCTTTATTATTCCGTCTTTAACCACACACAAATTTTCTCTTTTGAGATAAGAAGCAACTACTACAACTGAGGAAGTGAAAAAGCCACAAGTGTTTACGAAGGAAAATGAGGAAAAACATTAAAAACCGAGTAAAATTCATGGTCCAACACAAAAACAATGGACACCTCATTATTCCTGGAATGTCAGTTCAGTTAAGTAATCGGTTGAAAGTTTTTGCTATCAGTTTAGATCAATATTTATGGCGTGAGTTAGAAAATATGACCCGATATCAGAAACGAAAGAGGTAAAGAAGTATCTAAACGTGCTACACTGATCGAAATTCAAGTCAGTCAATCAGCTACAACGGAGGACCAGGTTCATATATGAATCGGTTCAAGTTGCCATACCTCATTAGCACAACAAGGTGAACACCAAAATCATAGTAGCTACTTAAGTGGTAGTAATACATAAAAGAAAGATTGTATATAAGGATATAATACAGGAAAAAAATCAGTTTGTAGGAAGAAAGGTATAAAGTAATTTTAATCTCACGGTCTAAGGGAAGACAAAGGGTGTATACAACTACGCCATTGTAATCAATTATGAGTCATGTCACCCTGAGTCATCAACCAATGATTACGATAGTCGCATGGACCCCAACCAAGTAGTTTGAATCTACCAACATGGTTCAGACCAGAATTTAGCGACTTCAAGGACTGATGCCACATTTTGCATTGGCCGCCCAAACACTAGTCAGCATTGCGCATCGTGGTAATCGGTGTTCGGGCATAGGTAACACGTAGCCCAACCATCTCAGTCGATGAAGATTCACAACCTCATCGACTGATCCAAAAGTCAGGTAGTTTAACTATTACCTCACCACTTCACAATACTGTATTAAGCAAAACCTAATTACTTTTTACGGAATCTTAAGTGGAAAACCCTATTCGAAACACCATGAACCTAAATAAAAAGAACAATCAACAAAGTATCAATAGAAATAAAGAGGTCAAAAATGCCATATCTTCATTAAAACATTATAAACTGACTTTCAATGTTTTCTGTCCCATTAAATGTACGGCAACAGAAATCAGAACAGCTATACTAGGAAGGACACCTTGGCTCGAAAACCCACTGCGTTCGAAAATACTTCGAGAATCCATCCGAGTAAGAACAAACACTGAAGAATTCTCAGATCGAACATAATTGCTAATGTTAACAGCATTATTATCCCTTGAGAGATTTTCAGAATGAGTTGCTGATAAAATAATGTTTAGCCCTGTCAATTCATCACAGAAAATCTCCGAACTCTGGAATAGCAACAGTTAAGGGGAAAAAATTTACAGGTACTTTTCAAAACAACAAATACAACATAAATAATAAATAACCCTTGAGGTCTTCCCACATTATACGACGTGCCAGAGTGCCTTATTAACTTCATGATATTAAGTTCAAGAATGGCAAAATATGACCCGTTAATTAATTATGCAACCCATGTCGAAATTACGAAATTGGTGTGAAAACTTGTTGCATTACGTTACTGAATTTTTCAAACAAAAATGCGTACACTGGGAGACAAGCAAAAGGAAAGGGAACTTGAGAGGAAGAAGCTGATAAAAAATGGCTAAACTAACGGTATCTAAGATACCAAAAATCCGACCAGTACAACATCTTTATTATGACAACAATAGTCGTTTAGAGGATTCTTACTAACTACGAGCTACATTATTTCCTTTTTAAGACTTGGATTAATGTTAATTTGGTTATTTATTCCCTGAAGAAGTGACTTACACCGAGTCACGAAATGTCAGAAAATCTAATTTTTCTACTCATTGGGATATTACGAATATATTAATTTATTTACTTCTAAGTAATGTTTTGACTCTTACCACTTATGGGAGATTTTTATTTACTGGGAAGCATGATGAACTGGTCTATTGTCATATGAGTCCAAGTTATTAAATCTAATTCGGTTAGACAAGCTAACAAAAATAAATGCAGCTGTGAAATTGAGACCAGTTTTTGAACCGTGACGCTAGTTCTCCAAATGAACCACAACTACGAAGTACACATTCCATAACAATGTTCATATTAGTACACAAATACTTCATAGATTTATACATAATTTTAATCTGACCCCCTTCCTGGTCCTCCACCGAGATTTATCTGTTAGCCTGAAGTGACCTTTTATATAACTCAGGTGGCTTATATCTCGAAACACTCCATTCCAAATCCTTAAACTTGATATATCTTAATCATGCCTGCTGGCCATCTATCTAGACGTGCAATGGTGATCATAAGAGTAGGTCGGAGGAGTGGAACGGTATCCTAATGCTTGAAACATAGCCACTGGCTATTATGGGGCAGGTTTGAACATCATCTAACCCTTTCAGTTAGAGTATTCGGATAGTATTGCCAACCCATATACTAATAGTCTGCGGTTAAAAAGTGCTCGAAACTTAACTTCTTAGACGAGCTCCGCCACTACTAGGTTTGAACAAGATAAGATACGCCCAAATCATAACAAAATCAATCCAGGCCAGTATCTGAATGATGAGTTACGAGTGATAAGGCTCAAAAGTCTACTGCAATAGCTAAGATGCACTTTCTGTTTTCTAAGTCATCGACTCAGTGTTGTTCCTTACTTTTTGTTCTAAGATTCTATTCTTTTTCGAGCTACATTTTCGATGTTTGGCTTTTCCCTAAGATTGATATTATTTTCACTTTTCTCTTAATTTCACATTGTCTATGATTCATCGAATTCACTAATTCATTACTTATTTCAATACTGACCAAGTACACTAAAAAGTTTTGGTCAGAAAAGCACACTACCAAAAATAGGATAATACTAACAAGTCTCATGTACACGACATCTCTTGCACTCAAGGTGTTATACAGTATGTCACTTTCTTAAACTCAACCCCATAAAGGTTGGATGTTACCGACTGACCTCTACATTTAGTATGGGAAGAGAAATACGGCGTTCAATCGAACGTTGCTGCTACCTTGACGTGGTGGTCGGGCTTGCTTATCGTGATGAAGCAATCGAGATATGCTGGCTGGAACAATCGTTCCTCAAGGTCCTACCGTGCCAGACAGGTCGGTTGAAGAGCGGTGAGATTAAAAGCAGCAAACCCAAGGTCCGAAGTCGTACTGTCGACTGTACAGAGGTGTGACGGTAGTAAGGTGTTTCCTTCAGACAGCCAGCATGACAGCGATGCTGCCTTCCCACAAGGAGTAGTGGGGTTAGAAAAGGTCGACCCTAAAAATGCACACCTCGCCTTATCCCACGGATTTCCGTCTCCAGCGGTAAGGTCCTTTGAAGAACGGAGCTAACACGTCAAAAATCCCCCACAAAAAGGCCGTGCGTGACCGGCCTCAAGCAGTTGTCCCTTGGGCACTGCGGTCACGCTCCCAGGTCGTTAAGACCAACAATAATCCAACTTCTTTTTCAGGTCCCTCAAGAAATACCCTTCCACGGTGTGGGCAGCCGGGAAGTGATATTAGCCCTCATACCCGTAACTGCACACAAGACCAAGTTGGTCACTTTCAAATCCTTCCTACACCTCCTAATAACTCTCTTATCTCCACGACTCACCCTTCCCACGTCCTTTTATCACCTCGCACCGCTAGGGCAAACGATTCAAGTACACAGAACGTTATTCCTGCTCTCCTGAAACCACGCTCCAAACTACATATAGGAACCTTTAATATTCGAACATTGTGCCAAATAGGACAACAGGCTTCCTTAGCTAGGACTCTAGAATCTTACACCATCTATGTGTGCTGCGTCTCCGAAACGCGCATACAAGATCCGAGTAGTGTCATTCATTTGACCTCACCTAATCAAAATAAAAATTCATCTCGATACACACTTCGTGTATCTGGAAGCCCTGATGCTGCTTCCCGTGGCCTCGCTGGAGTAGGTATAGCATTAAGTCCTAGGGCAGAACTAGCTCTTTTAGACTGGATCCCAGTAGACAGTCGTCTATGGGCTGTCCGACTAAACGGATCAGTAAGGACTCGGAAAGATAGGGAAACTCGTCGTTGCCTCTTCGTCGTCTCTGCCTACTCTCCCACTGACTGCAGCTCAGACGATATAAAAGATGAGTTCTACAGGAAACTTTCTGACCTTCTCCGAAAAGCTAGGCGTTCTGATGTAGTAATAGTGGCTGGTGACTTTAATGCTCAAGTAGGTAAACTAAGTGAAAGGGAAAGACACTTGGGAGGATCTTATGGTGTCTTGGCTAAAAGAACAAATAATGGCGACCGTCTGTTGCAGCTGTGCTCAGATAACCGCCTATTTCTTGCAAATACTAACTTTAAGCATAAGGAAAAACATCTTTTGACATGGCGACCCCCGAATTCGTCCGAACGTTGGACCCAATTAGATCACATCGCTATCAGCCACCGATGGAGGGGCTCGATAGAAGGCTGTCGCTCATTCTGGGACACATGTTTAGACTCAGATCATGCTCTAATGCGAGCACGTATCTGTCTGCGTCTTACTGGACGTAGGAAAGACACTGCAGGGAAGCCTCTAAGGGTTCTACTTAATGATAAGCAAGCTAAGAATATATTTCAGGAACAACTGGAAAAACAGTTAGGCAGGCATGTAAGTTGTGCCCACCCCGAGGCAGCGTGGAATGACATCAGAAAAGCTGTGGAATCAGCAGTGATATCCGCTAGTAAGGTAAGCCATAAGGTCAGGGAGAAACAATGGATCTCAACAGCATCTACCGCACTGATAGACGCTCGAAAACTCATCCCACCTGGCTCTGAACATAACGAAGAGCGGAGTCAGATTAAACGAAGACTAATAAGAAGGCTACGCAATGATCGTGAACAGTAGTGGGTAGCGAAAGCACAAGAGATGGAAAAGGCAGCGGCAATAGGTAACAGCAGACAGCTATTCAGACTTATTAAAGAAACCGGCATTAGGAACCCAACTATTAGCAAAACTATCTCAGACAAAGATGGACATGTCATTCATTCTCAACCCAGGAGATTGGATCGATGGGCAGAACACTTTAGGGATCAATTCAACTGGCCTTCAGCCACAATTCAGTTACCCACGATCCCCAGTCGTCCTGAATGGCAAATTGAGGTAAGTCCTCCAACTCTCTACGAGGTTGAAAAAGCTATAGGAAATCTAAAGCGAGGGAGAGCCGCAAGCCCTGACAGGTTTACCCCTGAGATTTTTAAGGATGGTGGTTCAGTACTAGCAACGAGATTGACTGAGGTCTTAGGTAGAATCTGGAAACTGGACGTAATTCCATCTGACTGGTCCCAATCACTGGTTGTGCCAGTCTATAAGAAAGGACAAAAGTCCTCCTGTGACAATCACAGAGGAATCAGTTTGACTAATATAGTGTCTAAAATATTAGCTTCAGTAATACTTGGACGCCTAACCAAAGCTCGCGAAGAGCAGACTAGAGAAAACCAGGCTGGTTTTCGACCTGGACGTGGTTACATAGACCAGATATTCACTCTACGTCAGGTCCTAGAACATAGACATACATTCAGACGTCCCATAATAGTAGTATTTCTTGACCTTAAGGCGGCATTTGACTCCGTTGGTTGTGAGGTTCTATGGCAGTGTTTGTCAGTGAAAGGAGTACCAAAGAAGTACATTAACCTCATAAAGGCTATCTACTCGAACACAACTGATCGAGTTAGAGCCTATGACGAACTGTCATCAGAATTTATTACCTCAAGTGGTGTTCGTCAGGGCTGTCCACTCTCCCCATTCTTGTTTAACTTTGTCGTTGACATGCTTTTGGAGATAACACTTTCATCATCTCAATCTCCTGGAGTTGAACTTTTTCCGGGAGGCTCACTTGTTGACTTAGAATACGCCGACGACATAGTTTATTTGGTGAAGACGCTGACAAAATGCAGAGTCTTCTGACCACCATAAGCAACAATGAAGGCATGTTCGGGATGCGATTCTCTCTCTCGAGGTGCAAAATGTTACTTCAGGATTGGGTTGCATCGACACCTGAACTAATGATAGGGAGTGAAGTAGTTGAGCGTGTTGACAGCTTCACTTATCATGAAAGTCTCATCATCCCTTGTTGTCGGGTTTGTGACGAAACCTCAGCACGGATACAGAAGGCTCGTCTAGCTTTCGCCAACTTGCGTCATTTATGGCGTAGGCGAGACATCCGTCTAGCAACGAAAGGACGGGTTTACTGTGCAGCAGTCCGTTCCGTCCTACGTTATGGCAGTGAAACATGGCCCATAAGAGTAGAGGATATTCGTAGGCTACTAGTTTTCGATCATAGATGTCTTCGAAGGATTGCTCGTATATCCTGGGACCACCGGGTAAGTAATGCAGATGTTAGGAAACGGGTACTAGGTAAGGATGGCAAATCGATTGATGAAGTAGTGAAACTTCATCAGTTGAGATGGCTGGGACATGTGTTACGTATGCCCCACCACCGACTGCCCGACGTGCAATGCTTTATAGTGTAGGAGTAGGTTGGAAGAAAGCTAGGGGCGGCCAGACCAAAACATGGCATAAATCCATGAAGTCACTGACAAGTGGACTGAGCCATGTTGGTAGGTGTAGACTACCTGGTTGGGATTCGCGAGATGATAGCAACCGATGGTTAGAGACCTTGAATGACATGGCTCAAAATCGTTTGCAATGGCGAAGGTGCATCCACTCTTTGTGTTCTACCAAATTCTAATCCGAATTCTTCATGTCTGTATCCTTTTTCTCTTTCCAAATTTACTTCACCGTATTATACTCCTTCAATAACATTTTCAAACCCTAATCTTTCACATAATACTTATACTCTTACTACTTCTACCACTATGGGATTTGAATCGACAACTGCATCTCTGTGCTAATGTGGTATGGCAACTCGAACTGATGTACGTACGTACGAAGTTCTACGTTGTAACTGACTGACTGACTGAATACGGCGTTCAACGACCAACCTGTGGACACTGTTGTTTGCAAATAATATCAAAGTTTGGTAAACGATACGCAGCGAGGTTGATCATCTTTATCGTCACGCTGATTTGGACGGATTTCTTAGATGGTCCCAACGTTGGAGACTGATTCTAAACGGCATTCTAAGGGACATTAAACAGAGCAATGCTCAGACGCTTTCACGCGTATAGGAACAAAAGAAATAGGCGTAATACAGAGCCATGACTTGAAAACAACTGTTTCTTGCAATGAAGGAAGTGTCAAAGGTCTCCGAGTGCTATGGTCAGTTCGCTGAGCATTCGAACGCTTTGATGAAGATGCATTTCAGACTTAATAATCCATTTACGTGATGCCTCACTTGGAATATTGGATCCAAGCAGATAATCCATGTGTTATTAAGAATGCGACCGCACTCGACCATGTTTAGAACGTGAGAACCAAGTTATTGGCAAATTTTTCTATCCTATAGTGGGAGATTAAACACTTAAACGTTTCCCCTTTATATTACCGTAAAACGCGAGGTGACCTTATATTGGCATTCTGTATCTTAAACAATGATTCGGGTGTTAACATGTTTGATCCTTTTCTACTATTGGGACTAAACATTCATGAGACCGCTGAGAGAGGGTTTAAAAACCGCGATCGAATAAACCCAAAGTGAGACTCCAGTTTTCATTTAGAGTGATCAATGCCTGGAGCGCCCTACCCGAATAAGTGATGGCAACTCCATCAGTGAACACTTCCAAGAAGTTGGATCTCCACTTAGAAACAATCTGCAAAGGTTAACACAGGTCTATCGACCTACTATCCCTACTGTTAAAGAATGCTGATATTACATCAGATTATAATGTAAATCAAATGAGAAACGTTTGCAAATGAACATACAAGTTGTCCCAAACGCAGACTAGCCACAGACAGGTAAAGTGTGTCTCGTCTAGCGATTTGGATGTCTCCTTCATCGGCATACCTACAAGAATTACTTGAAATAAGTATTCTGTAACTAATAAGCGCATTGTTTTGGGAATAGAAAAAAGTAGGAATGGCGAAAGTGATACAACAATAATTTCAATGTTTATACGGTTCAACATATAAAATCTGACTATGAATCGATCTAATTTGCTAGCATGTGCATTTGTCGCTTAAATTTTAAAAATTGATTACCCTTACTAAGATTACCAGCAGCGTTTTAGCGGTCTCAATAGACAGAAGCTAAGTTCTACGTACCTCAATCTCGAAAGTATACTCTCTCAAGACTGACATAAAGTTAATGCAAATTACATGAGTGTCGGTTCGTCAGATAAAACATACTTCAGAAATATGCAGTGACATGAGGTACTGACGACGAAAGCAAGTCTCAGATGACCCAATAGCTGACATAGGGTTATTGATTTCAATAAAGCACCGAGTATCATCAGCAGGTTCTCGATTCAACATTGAAAAGCATTCGTGCATGGAAGTCTACAGACAAGTTAGAAATTAAATTCCGAAATACCCAAATGGTGTTGTTCACATCAGTAACCAAAACAACCGGAAACGGCCAATTAATATATGAATATTCTGTCCCAGCTGGGTTCCATTGTGTATCCAAATCACACTGCTCAGTAACATTATAAGCACTGTAAAGACTATTTGGGCATTTGGATGATTCAGAAAATGCATATCTGTCGTAATTCTCTTCCTCGTTAGAAAACACAATAAGACCTTTAATATTTGTTGTTGAACGGAAATACTGCATAAGTGAAGTGTTCATAAACTGCCCAACATTTACAACCACTACAAATGGAGTTAAATTATTTGATCTGAGTGTCTGAATAATGTCTTGTGACCCATTCACAAACAAAGCGACACCAGAGTTTCCTTTGATATCACTGGAACAACCAACCTGTGTTGTAAGGTTAAGTTTTCGAGTACAAAATGATGTATATGACAGAGGCACATAATTGTAAATTTGTTCAGTAATTTTACTGGAATCCAAAGAACCCAAACTGATGAATAAGAAAACCAGAATAAATACCACCCAATGTACCGCAACCATTGAATTGATTCGCTTCAAACCTGAAACTCTCGGAATTCGCTCGTTGGATACAGAACTAATAATTGTTTGAGACCTGTTTTTATGTGGTAGGAAACTATTCAGTGGCTTGATTTAGATTTCGCTAGTCTTAAAATTATGACGACAAAATAAATGAAGTGATCTACGAGTTACGCTTAGAGCAGTCCCTCTGTGTACCGTGTGAATGAAAGTAAGTGATTAGCTTACATCAGAAAAGTTGAATAAGGGATTGTCACCATCCAGTTCGTTATAGAATTGCATAGCTCACAAACTTTAACCACTATAAAGTTGCCAAGAACTTTACTGAATACTCTTACGCGTTTTGCGTAATGTAATACCATTGTAGTGACCGGCCAGTCTCGATAAGAACACGATTGGAACAACGGAAACAATCATTATTATTGTAACCAATTGTACCAGAGGTTGTTTTACTGTATTCGTTTAACTGTATCAGTTTCACTTCTGCTTTCGCTCTCCGCCTTGTTTGGTTCGAACTTGCTCACGCACTGCCTGTTCGCCTGTACTCTTTGGCACGTCTCGGTATTATTTCGATACCACGAGATCGCCAATAAATACAATTGATCTGGACTAATAAAGCCTTCTGATTTACAAAGCAAGCAAGTCGTTTTTGGGCGCGTAAACGAATTGTAGTGGTGATCATAGTCCGTCTTCGACTCGACATCCACTACAAACTGGTGTGCCGTGTTGGGAACACGCACAACTGGTGAACCACAACCAGTAACCCAATTCTTCGAGCACAGTTCAAACTTGGCCAATTCTCCAAGCCAGATCAATCCGGTGAGTCTATTTATCTATCCACATCGGTTGCATATATTCGTATTGATATTTTTCAATATATAATATTTTGGCAACTTAATATGGTAGATAACGATAAGAATAACAGAAATAGGATAGACTCCGAGATACAGGTTATCAGTTTTTGACCGGTTCCATTTATTCCCCATGATCCAGAAGTCTGGTTCGCGGCACTGGAATCTCAATTTGAGATCCGCCGCATAACCAACCAAAGGCAAAAGTACGCCTACGCTTTGGAATCATTGCCCGGGGATCACCTAACTGCTGTCCGTGAGGTTGTCCTCAACCCGAACGTTCCGAACGTTTACGACCGTCTTAAGGATGCTATCCTTCGACATTTCCTCCCATCAAGAGAGGAACGATTGAGGACTCTCTTAGCACGTCACCCTATGGGTGATGCTAAGCCGAGCCACCACCTCACGCGCCTGCAATCCCTTGCAGGAAACTCGACAGCAGACTCTGAGATAGTCAAAGAGTTGTGGCTCGAAGCCTTACCAGTCAGTATCCAGCCAACCCTTACGGTCCTGCTCGAGGACACCCCACTGCACAAGGTGGCCCTCATAGCAGACAAGATTCTAGCACGTGTTAGCGCCGAAGACAGCCATATTGTTGCCTCTACTTCCCGTTCTAACATTGATCTCGATGCTAGACGACCTCCGGATCATGGGGATAGGGACAGATGTATCCATACTCGTCTCAGTTTCCGAGACCGCACAAACGTGCCAGCCCCCTACGTCCCCCGACCCAGGTCACAATCTCGTAAGGCCGTAACGACTCGCCCCAAGCGGGCATCTTCCAAGCCACGCCAGAAGGCGGTTTCGGAAGCGAGTCCAGGTTGGTGCTGGTTTCACCGTGCCTTCGGGGCCGGTGCCCGTCATTGTCGAGCTCCCTGCTCATACAAGGCGGGAAACTTCTCAGCCGGCGAGTAAATGCGGCCGTACTCGCCGGCACTTCACCTCAGGTTGGCCGTTTATTTTACGTGCACGATTATCGCACCAACGCTAGGTACCTTGTGGATACGGGTGCCCAAGTTTCTGTCGTACCTATCGATAACACTAAGTCTCAAGCCACTATGCTTCGACTACGCGCTGCGAATGGCTCAGTCATTCCCACCTATGGTACACGACAACTTACGGTCAACCTGAGCAGCCGACGACAATATCTGTGGACGTTCATCATTGCCGATGTTCCCACAGCTATACTCGTTATCGATTTCCTACAGCACTATGAATTGCTGGTCGATTCACGTAGGCTGCAGCTAATTGATACTTCGTCGAACAGCAACTTTATGGGCTTTAAAGCCCACACAAACGCGTACCGAATCACAGGTGTATTTCATTCGCGTGACGATTTATTCCACGCTTTATTTCAGAAATTCCCCACATTAACTAAACCTCTCGAGGAGACTCCATCGGTGACCAATCGTGTGGTACACCACATAGTCACTCGCGGACCACCAGTCACGGCAAGACCTCGCCGACTGGCACCGGACAAATTAGCTTTCGCTAAACGTGAGTTCGACAGTTTACTAGCTACTGGTATTATTCGTCCTTCTCACAGTCCTTGGGCCTCACCTCTCCACATGGTTCGAAAAAAGGATGGGGTTAGTTGGAGACCATGCGGAGACTGCCGAGCGTTAAACGCAGCTACACGTTTCGATAGCTATCCCATCCCCCACATACATGACATCACGGCATCACTCAAGGGCACGACAATTTTTTCCAAGATCGATCTGGTACGAGCATATCACCAGATCCCAGTCGCTCTTGAAGATATAGAGAAAACTGCTATCACGACTCCTTTCGGTTTATTTGAGTTCCTACGAATGCCATTTGGATTACGGAATGCTGCTCAAACTTTCCAAAGGTTTATCGATAGCATCGTACGAGACCTAGATTTTGTTCACGTCTATATTGATGACCTGCTAATCGCATCATGAAGCGTAGATGAGCATTATCGACACCTAACGCTACTATTCCAGCGCCTTTCGGATAATGGAATAATAGCCAACCCCGACAAGTGTGAACTCGGGAAGAAGGAAATAAAATTCTTAGGTCATGTTATTAAGCATGAGGGTATTTTACCTTGTGAGGATAAAGTACGTACGATAATGGAGTACACTGTACCGTCCACACTCAAGGAACTGAAGGCATTTCTCGGTTTGGTCAACTTCTACCGACGCTTCATTTCGCACGCGGCAGAACAGTTACGACCGTTAACCGATTTACTTCGCGGTAATCCACGCAAACTGGAATGGAATGACGCCGCAGGTACTGCATTTTCAGATACCAAAACAGCTGTAGCTCAAGCCACACTTCTCGTGCATCCTGACCCATCAGCCACGCTTAGTATAGCGGTTGATGCATCGGATTTCGCCATAGCAGCCGTTATGCAACAGAATATCTCCGGTAGTTGGCAGCCCCTCGAATTTTTCTCACGACGCCTCACTCCCACGGAGACGAGATAAAGCGCTTTTGGTTACGAACTGCTAGCAGCCTACTGCGCCATCAAACATTTCCGGCACGCTGTAGAAGGTCGTAATTTCATCCTATTCACCGACCATAAGCCCTTAACGTATGCCCTGCATACCAAGTCTGACCGCTACTCACCACGAGAGTGCAGACATTTAGACTATATCTCTCAGTTCACGACAGACCTTCGTCATGTCAAAGGCGAGTCGAACTGTGTTGCTGATGCTTTATCACGTATCCAACTGAATGCAGTTACTTTGCCAGTGCTCGATCTACCTGCTATGGCCGCCGCCCAAGCAAACGATACTTCATGCACGGAAGCACAACAGTCTACGTCCCTTCAGTGCCGGGAAGTATCCCTAGCTACTAGCTCAGGTACTACCCTATGCGATACTTCTGCGGGCCTCCCTCGACCCATCGTACCACCCGCTTATCGCCGTCTCGTCTTTGATGCCCTTCATGGTTTATCTCATCCTGGTATCGCAGCCACTTTACGCCTCATCGCTGCACAATACGTCTGGCCGTCCACGAATAAAGATGTCCGTATGTGGGTAAAGTAATGCTTACAATGTCAACGATCAAAAGTGCACAGGCACGTAGCTGCCCCTATTGGCACTTTCGCTACGCCTGATGCTCGCTTCGATCACGTTCACATAGACATTGTAGGACCATTACGACCATCGCACGGGTATGATCACATACTCACATGCATTGATCGTTTCACAAGATGGCCCGAAGCTATTCCCATCACGTCTATTACGGCGGAGACAGTTGCTCACCGCTTCGTAGAACGATGGATAGCTCTGTACGGTTGTCCCTCGACTGTCACAACTGACCGAGGACAACAATTTGAGTCCGCATTATTCTCCTCACTAACACGACTGCTTGATACGGAACGCATACGCACTACCGCCTACCATCCAGCATCAAACGGTTTAGTTGAACGGTTTCATCGCCAACTTAAAAGTGCTCTTCGAGCACACGAAAACGACAATTGGTACGAAACCTTACCGCTCGTTCTTCTGGGTATCAGAACGAGTTTAAAGGCAGATATTCAATGTTCCGCCGCTGAACTTGTTTATGGCACGACATTGCGTCTGCCTGGGGAATTTTTCACACCACGGAACAGCACTAAGTTCGGCGAATCAGACTATGTCCAACGACTGTCTGCATTCATGCGAACACTGACTCCGGTGTCAACTCGTATACAACATCGACAGGTGGCTCTCCCTCGAGAGTTATCTACCTGTTCACATGTTTTCATACAAGTAGATTCGGTACGCAAACCTCTACAACAGCCTTACGAAGGACATTTTCACGTGATTTCCCGTCACGAAAAGACCTTCAAGGTTGATCGACATGGCCGCGTCGAAATCGTCAGCATTGATCGTCTCACGCCAGCACACGTCGATGACAGTGCCCTACCTGATAAGCCGAGACCCAATGCTAAACCTATCAAAGCTTCTAGTGGGATCTCTACATCTACTTCGGATCCCACGCTAGATGCACCTGAGACCTCATTCTCACATCCCAGTCAACAGCACTTGTCATCTGCCCCGTCTACTGACGAGACTTCCGTCTCACGTTCAGACCAGCAGACCACACCGCCCTTGACTGTGGATGAGATTGCAGGCTCACGAGGTTCGAACGAGACTACCGTCTCACGTTCCGGTCGCCGAGTACGCTTACCCGTACGCTTTCGCGACTAACCTCATAACC